TTTTTTATTTACTGTCTGATTTATGGTGTCGTTTTTCAATATTTGGATGTCTAATAGTTGGTGTTGAGGTTTTTGTTTCTTTATTAGTTTCCATCTTGCGCGAACTTTTGCAACAACAGGATTATGATCGGAATTGATGTCAGTTCCAGGATATGTTTTTGCACTGATTATTGCATTGTGATATCTTTTGTTGACCAATATGTAGTCTATTTGGTTACGGATTACTCTGTTTTCATTGTGTTGTGGTGAAGTCCAAGTGTACAATCTGCGAGGGTGTAATTTAAACCATGTATTTGTCACTACCATGTTGTGTTGTTGGCAGAATTCTGTCATTCTCTCTCCCCTGTCGTTCCTTGCTCCAAGTCCGAAGTTTCCGATCAATCCAGAAACTTTTCCTCTATCCAATAACCAAATTCATACTTAAATGGAATTTGAATGGCTTTTACAGACATATCGAAAACTTAAAAATAATAATCAATTAATTCTCACCTTTAGTAATATGTTTACAAGAAACACGATATTCTAATAATAATGTTAGATTGAAAAACTATACACCATACATCAAAAATAGATCGGTGCAGCAAATACCTAGCGGTGGTGTTGGCATCTTTGTGAAATCTACGGTCGAGTCCAAAAAAATTTCGTTAGATAAAAATCTGAAAGCTGTTGCAGTCTCAATAGTTCAGCATTTTAAAATTAATATCTGCAGTGTATATTTACCATATCCGGAAGAATCCATACTCCTAGAACTACAAAAAGTGATAGAACAAATTTCATCTTCTACATTAATTCTTGCTGACACAAATTGTCATAACGAATCTTGCTGATCTGCGCAAACTGACAAAAATGGCAAAACTCTATTAGACATAATTAACAACCTCAAACTGGTGCTATTAAACAGAGGAATGCCTACCCGTTTCAACTTATACAATGGCACGTTTTCAACCATCGATTTATCCCTTAGGAATTCAACTTTAGCACCACTACTTGAGTGGAATACACTTTCACACTTATTTGACACTGACCATCTACCAATTTTTACTCATATTAAAGACAAACGTTAATACAAAACCATATGAAACATGGAAATTAAAATCAGCGGACTGGGAAAAGTACACTGGTTTAATAACTGAACGAATGAAACACTTCAAAATATTAGAAGATATAAACATCGCAATAACAAATTTAGAAACCTAATAGGTTCAGCCAAAGAAGCGATTGGAAAAACTAAAACTACCACAAAAACATTTCTACACTGGTAAAATATCGAAATAGAAACTTCTTTGAAACAAACAAAACACTCCTTTAATAAACTGAAAAAACACAATTAGACAGAGCTGAGTAGACATCTTAGCTGGTTACTATATATCAACTATATTCGATCAATGAAAAATACAACTCTACATTATTAAAACACAAAGAAAATATCGAATTGTCACAAATCAAAATAGAAGATATTTTACGCTTTCTCAACATACCGATTACACTAGACGAGTTAAAAGAAAGCCTAGGCAATGTCAAAAAACTTCTTCAGGACCTGATGATATTTAAACAATATCTATCGAGAAACTACCTGAAATAATAAAGAAAATTTTAGTTGAAATCTTTACCAATATTTACACAAATAAAATGTTTCATTCAATATGGTGTGAAGCAATTATAATTCCTTTTTTAAAAATGAAAAAGCCAAAAAACTTACCATCCTCCTATCATCCAATATCTCTCACCAGTAACATTTGCAAAGCAATCGAGAGAATATTGAGTAAAAGACTGAAATGGCACTTGGAAAAGAAAAAACTTATTACTCCAATACAAAACGGATATCGTTCAGACAGATCGACAGTTGATAACATTGTTGCACTAGAATCCGAAATTCATAAAGCATTTCCAAATCAACAAAAAATAAACTAAGAGTTTTATATAATCATAGATGGGGTTTACATACTAAAATTCTTCTAAATTTATATCAGACATTAATAAGAAGTTAACTCGACTACGGATGCATCTGTTATGAAACAGAAAATAAAAATCAACTGAAAAAACTGGATGTTATTCAAACCACATCTCTACGACTAATCTTTGAAGCCTTTAAAACTACTCCAATAAGAAGCCTTCAAGTGCTAGCAGGAGAAATGTCACTATACCTCAGAAGACAATATATATCACTATGCTACGCTTCAAAAATTCTAAGCGCAAAAGATCATAGAATAGAATAGAAATATGCTTTATTGTCACTGAAAATTATTGAACAATTTTATGGACAAAGCTAAAAAATAAATCAGTCAAATAGTACAAAAAGTATAAAACAAAAACAAATATAGTAAAAAACAGAATAACACAATTTTAAATTAGTAAAATTATTGTATAACCTACATAATTTGTACAGACAACAACAAATGAGACAAATTGTAGCCACTGCTTGAGACACCCAAATGTAATTATAAACAATACTAATTTTGTTTCTTTGTTATACATTAAGAAACTCGTCAACTGAATAATATGGTCTTTCTGAGAGATAGATTTTTGTCACCTTACGAAACTTAATGAAGGATGTTGCGGATTTAATTTCTCTTGGAAGGTGATTATAAAGTTTCTTTGCACGATATAGAATAGAATTCTTTACTAGCTGAGTGGACAGGATCGGCAAATAAACGTTACAATCCGAATTTCTAATGGAGTAGCCATGGTCAGGTCTATCGGGAAAAATGTTTAGATGCTTTCGAATCAAACAAACCGTTTCCAAAATAAATAAAGAGGGAAGCGTCAAAATTCCGTGATTTTTGAAGTAGGTCTTGCAATGAGTTGTTTGTTTGAGACCAAATAGATAACGGATTGCTCTTTTTTGCAACTTAAAAATAGTATCAAATTGGGCCGCTGTACTAGAACCCCAAAATGGAAGCCCATATCGAAGATGGGACTCGAACAATGAGAAATATGCCATTTTGGCAGAAGATAAATTTAGTTCCTTCGAAACAGATCTTATTGCAAAGCAAGCTGAGGCTAGTTTCTTCCTTAAGGAGTCAGTATGCAAGGACCATTTGAGATCACTGTCAATGAGAATACCTAGAAATTTCACGGAATTTACGATATTGATTTGGCTCTCATTCAAAAGCAAGGGTTGCATGACTCCTTTATAAGATAATGCTACAGTCTTATCCACGTTAAAGCTAAGTAAGTTGGAGTCTGACCAAGCCTTGATTATAAGTAAATCAGCGGTTATAATTGAATGAAGCGTTGAAATATCAGAGCTGCTCCAAGTAATACTGGTATCATCAGCAAATAGAAAAATTTTCCCTTTAATTTTCAAGTAAGTGATGTCATTAATGAAAAGTAAAAAAGAATGGGACCTAATACTGAACCTTGCGGTACTCCACACTCAATATCTTTACAACTAGAGTCGGTGTCATTTATTCTAACCAATTGTTTCCTACCTACCAAGTAAGTTTTGAACCAGTTCAAAGACACACCCCGAATTCCATAGAAAGTTAATTTTTTTAATAGAATGTCGTGATTTACGCAGTCAAAGGCTTTGGAATAGTCGCAGAAAACGGTGGCGGAGGAGAGGTTACTGTTTAGTGATAGATATACATCATGTAACACAGAAAATATGGCATCACTAGTGCATTTATTAGACAAAAAGCCGAACTGATTTTGCGATAAAATATTATATTTAAGGAGAAAGGGCATAAGTCGAACTTTTATAAGTCTTTCAATAATTTTTGATAGTGCTGGTAACAAGGCAATAGGTCTATAGTTGCAGGCATCAGATTTTTCTCCACCTTTATGAAGAGGAATGACGATGGCAGTCTTTAGGCAGTTAGGGAATGTACCTTTTTCAAGGGAATCATTTACTAGCGAGACCATGACCTCCAAAACATTATGCGGTAGATTTGAGAAAATTTTAATAGATAATCCATCTGTACTACAGGACGATGTGCTTTTTATACTACGAATTGTTGAAATGAGTTCCGTCTTATCAACTGGTCTTAAAAAGAAGGTATCAGCAATGTTTTTTGAATTAGAGAGATAGGAAACTGGATCTTGTTGTGGCGAAATAGTTGAGGTTATATTTTTACTCACATTAACAAAGTAATCATTTAGATTTTCGGGGTTAGGAAAAGAAAAGGTTTGATTCGCTGTACTGGTTTTATTTCGAAAATCGTTTATTATTGACCAAGTTTCTTTTGAAATATTTTTGGAGCTTGTTAAGCGATTATGAAAGTAGGATTTTTTGGCTACTTTGAGTAGTTTTATATAGCATTTTCTGTACTTGTTGATATAATCAGAGATGGGAATACTGTCATTAAATTTTTTAATATATAGCAGAGAACGCATATTTTTCGCAGATATGCGAATGCCTTTGGTAATCCAAGGTTTGTTATGTTTTGGCCTGATGTTTAATAGAGGAAATGCTTTATTAAAAATATATACAAGTCTATTTAGAAAATCACTAACATTACAGTCAATGTCCCCAGAAGAAAAACTCCAGTCAGAAGTCAAGCATGAATTATAGAATTTACCTTTCTCCTTCAGCAAAAGAAGTTTAGTATTGGATGAATTACAGTGAGTGAACAATAATGAGAAAGATATGATTGGTCCTAGTCTGACATGAAATCTTTTTTTTTTAAATTTGCTAACGTAGGCGTAAAAACGACATACACTGAAAGGTTTTTTTGTTACTCCGTAATTTAATACCAGTCGAATTCCATTTATTATAAGGGTTTATTCCGAAATATCGACAAAAACATATAACTGCAAGGAATAAAAAAGTGTTTTGAGAAATAAAAATGCTACTATAATATAAAACTTTTTATGTATAAACTTACATGAATCGCATACCTTTCATATTAATGCGGCAGTCTCTTCTCTTCTTTATCTTCTTAAAACCGGTCAGACACTTCCTTTATAATATATAAACAGAAATAAATTAGAGTAGATTATTAAGAGTTATTCAAATTTACAATAAAATTTGAGAGATTAAAACGACAATATGTTTTTAGATTAAATACAAAATCCCGTTACAAAACATCACAATTTAAACATAGGCCACTATTGGAAAAGGTACGCAATGGAGGTCCAGTTCATCCAGTTAGTTCAATATCAAATAATTGTAAAATTCTAACCAAGAAATTAACTGGTAATATAAAAAAATCAACTCTTCCTTCTCCAGTAAATGAAGACAATATTTCTACTATGATTCAAATGGTAAATGTTGATGTTAGGGACGATTTGGATGCTGAGAAAAAGGATGAAACAAAAACAGAAGTAAGTTAATATTTGAAATATAGTATCTGTGTAAATTTATAATCTTTTTAAGTCTTACCATATTTAGGAGCGATTGCTTCTTGGATGTTAATAGCCTTCAAGAAATATCTTAATTAGAGTAGGATACGCAATTTGAATGTTTGTGAAGGTATTTTTATAACTTTCTCAGAATAAAATTTATTACTTGATTTTTTATTAAAACAAATTTTATAGCCCTACAGATAAACAATAAAGCATTACATAATGCATTTGAAAAAGTGGTTTGGCTGCACCACTAATGAGCATTTTAGATCAGCAGTAATAAGATCAGGATACTCTTGATGATTTCCAATCTTCGATAGAAGTCGCATAAGGAAATAAAGATTAATTTGTTAAGAATGTCTAATATAAACTAATATTCTCCTCAACTCAGCACCATAAATGTAAATATAGTTAATTTGATATTTTGGAATTTTCATTAACAACATGCTGAACAACTATAATATTGTCCTCTTCCAGTTTTGCATCCGATGTGCAGTCGAACCGATGACCACCTTTTCTGATAAAAACTCTAAAACTCGGTAATCTTTGGAAATTGATTATAAATATACCCCATTAGAATGTTCGCAAATGAAGTTCCGTGAATCTAAGTCCAAAAAACATTCGCAAATCATGTGTTTTCATCATGTTTGTGGAATAATTTTAAAACCATGCATTTTATCGAAATTGTATAATAATACCTGTACGAATTTAAAGTTTTCATTGAGTGGCATTCAAGTACACGGCGTTTCGTGTCCTCGCCCCACACTTCCCAAGTTTTCAGAAGTAATTTATACATGAGGTGTAATAAACTCTCGAAAATATGACCCATTTATAAAGAAAACAGTTGCCGGATTTCGTTTCGTAGGAGAGTAAGTTTGTTAATTTTTTTCTCCATAGAGAATTTTTCAGCAACAATAACCTGGTCAGATTTCTTTACAAATTAGATTTTAATAGGTCGACAGTACCGTGATGAAGAGCAACGAGAGTTTTGCTAAAATTTGACTAAAATTGGTGTCAGAAATAAGAGTCAAACCGACTAATGGCAATAAAGATGTCAAAAATATTGTGTAATCCTTCGAGTTTCTGTTCTAATTCGTATAGAGGATATTCACAAATCATGCTAAAATCTACAAATTGACATTAATATTATTTTGAAAAAATAATATTAATACAACATACAATTGTCAAAATATACAATATATATATATATATATATATATATATTATATATATATATATATATATATATATATATATATATATATTGAACCTATTCTCTATCCTTCCATTGTTGAATATAGGTCTCCCCCAGTTCTCTCCATCTTTCCCTATCTTGAGCTGTTCTCTGCCATGTGGGACCTCCTTGTTTCCTGATGTCATCTTTCCACCTCATCTGTGGTCTGCCTCTTGATCTCTTTGCATTGTATGGACGCCACTTTCCGATGGCATTGTTCCATCGACCGTCTTGGAGACGTTCATTGTGTCCAGCCCATTTCCATTTCAGTTTTGCTGCTTGTTCTATCGCGTCTACTTTTTTGTTCTGGTTCTGATCCACTGGTTACGTTTTCTATCTCTAAGTGATACACCCAACATTTGTCTCTCCATCGCTCTTTGTGCCTTCCTTATCCTATCCAAATTGGCCTGTGTAAATGTCCATGTCTGTGCTCCGTAGGTGAGCACCCGTATTATACAGGAGTTATATACCTTGCTTTGTAAGTATAGAGGGATTGTTTGATTTTTTAGAACGTAAGAAAGTTTGCCGAACGCTGCCCATCCCATTCTTACTCGTCGCGATATTTCGGCTGTTTGATTTTCTCTGTTAGCTTTGATTGCTTGTCCTAGATAGATATACTCATTTACCTGTTCTATTTTTTCTGTTTTTATTTTTATTGCCTCTTGGTCTTCCGTGTTTGTCATTACTTTTGTTTTGTTGAAGATAATTTTTAGGCCTTTTTGCAGTGATTTTTCATGAAGTTCATTCAGCATTAATTCCAGTTCTTGTCGTTCTGAGGAGATCAGGAGTATATCATCCGCATATCTAAGGTGATTTAGGTATTTTCCGTTAATACATATTCCTCTGTTTTCCCAATCTGTTGATTTTATTATGTCTTCGAGGGTCAAGGTTTAGGTGAAATTATATCGCCTTGTCGGACTCCTCGTTTAACTTTTATATTATCAGTTATTAATTTGTCGTCCAGAATTACGGTCATGTTTGCGTTTTGGTAAATATCATGTATCAATTGTTGGTATCTTGAATCTATTCTACTATTGACCAGAGCTTCTTCAACCGCCCAGTGTTCAATGTTGTCGAAAGCCTGTTCATAATCTACGAATACTAAGTACAGCGAAAGGTTGTATTCATTGGTTTTCTCAATTAAGATTTTAAGCGCATGTAGATGGTCGATTGTGCTGTATCCTTTCCTGAATCCGGCCTGTTCCACTGGTTGGTAGTTATCAAGTTTATAGGTTAGTCGGTTGTTTATTATTCTTGTGAAGGTTTTATATAGTTGTGACAAAAGGGAAATAGAACGGTAGTTGTTTAGGTCTGTTCGGTCTCCTTTCTTATGTATTAAGATTGTGTTGGTATTTCTCCAGTGTTTAGGTATTTTACCTTCAAACAGGCATTTGTTGAACAATATTTTTAGCATTTTTTTATCGTGTCTCCTCCTTCTTTTAGCAGTTCCGCCAGTATTTTGTCCTCACCGGCCGCTTTATTTCTTTTCATGTCGTTTATGGATTTTTCGATTTCATCTTCAGTTATTTCTGGTAATACCTCTGAGCCAACATTTTGTATTTTCCTCGAGAGATTCTGTTTAGATGATAGTGGTGGGTCATTTTTAGAACTGTATAGGTGTGTGTAATATCTTTCTGTGATTTTTACTATTTCTCCTAGATATCTTTCTTCATTGTTCTCAGCTTTAAGCATGATTAGTTTTCTTTTTCCTGTATTTGTCTTCATTGTTTTTAAACTTTTGTTCTTCTCTATGATTTTCTTAATGCGGTCTTCTTGGTATTTTTTAAATCTTCCTTTATTTGTTTTCTTATGATTTTATTCAGTTCGGTAAACTCCACTGTATTTCTTTTGTTATCATTCAGTAGTTGTCGTCGTTGTTTTAGCATATCTTGTGATTTAGCGCTAATTTTTTGTTGTTTTCGCTTTTGTTTATTAGCAATCTTCAGGCCTGCTTCTAGTAGTTCTGTTGTTATTTTGTCGTTTAATTCGTCTAGTTGCAAACCCTTTAGCTGTGATATGTCACTTCTTTTTAGCTGGTTTATGTATTGTTCTTTATGTTCTTTAAGAAGTTCTGTATCTATCTCTTTTTTAGATGGTTTAAATTTTTGTCTGTCTGTTGTGGAGTTAATTTTGATTTTAGCTCTAACAATTCTGTGATCACTTCCTACGGCAATCATGTTTATGATCGTAACGTCTTGTACTATGTTCTTTTCTTTGGATAGGATGTAATCAATCTCGTTTTTTGTTAAACCATTGGGCGCGACCCACGTCCATTTTCTCTGTGGTTTTTTATTGAAAAAGGTATTCATTGCATATAGACCGTTCGTTTCCATATAGTTCATTAATGTTTCTCCTCTTTCGTTTCGTGTTCCATATCCAAAGTTGCCGATTTTATTTTCTGGTTCTTCTAGTTTTCTCCCTAATTTGGCATTGAAGTCGCCTATAATGATTGTGTAGGTGCTTTTGTATTTGTTCACTGTTTGTGTCAATGATTCGTAGAATATATCCACTTCTTCACCCGTATGTGATGATGTAGGGGCGTAATGTATGATCTTTAAACTTATATTTTTATTTATGTCCATTATTAGAGCCGCGACCCTTTCTGAAATTCCAATATATTGTCTAATCTTATGGACATGCTGATTGGAAACAAGAAAAGCGACACCAGCTAATGATTCTTCTTCAGTTCCTTTATAGTATAGTACATTCCCGGATTCCAACTTCATACAGGCTTCCCCTTTTCTTTTTATCTCACTTAATCCTAATATATCCCACTTCATCTTTTTTACTTCTTCTTTCAGTTCGGCTAGCTTTTCGTCTCTCATCAGTGATCTGACATTATAAGTCGCAATATCCAGTTTCGTTGCTTGTTTTCGTTGTTTCTGGCAATCTTCTAAAACCCAGGGATTCTTACTAATATATATATATATATATATATATATATATATATATATATATATATATATATATATATATATATATATAATAATATACAATTGTCAAAATAATATTAATGTCAATTTGTAGATTTTTTTTTGATTAAAGATAATATGATTAAAGATAATTCGGATGAGAAAGCTCCACTATTATATGTGGTTGACGACAGGATACCTAAAGATACTAGGTATTTTGACACTGGCAGATTTAACGGGATCAGCTCTGGAGCTACTGCAGTGTTTACACATTTTCCCGATTATATAGGAACTTGTTGGGTCGTCACAGCTGTCTCCGCATTAATTTTCTTTATGATGATGCTACTGGTGCTCTCAACGTTAACGGTGGCGAGTTTGAGGTTACCCAGATGCGCTACAGCTGAACAAATCACCAATGATACGATTCATTTAGTTCACGTACATAACTCATATTACCAAGAAATAGAAAAACTAAATTTTGTTGGAGAACTTACCAAATTATATTCCACATACAAAATCAGAGTACTCATTTTGCCTGGAAAAGAAGAAACTAAGAATAAAATTATTCCTTGTACAATAGAAAAAGATTTTATTGAGGAAAATTACGACGTTCAAAACGAAGTAACTTCTAGTATATCTACTTCAACTCCCAAAAAACCAATATATTAAAAAGAAAGAAGGGTATAAAAGACACGCAATTATTATTAAATATGTTAATGCATGGTATGTTCATAGATATAAAAACAGACCCGAAAATAAAATCTACAGAGTCAGCAACGATGCAAACAACTACAGATAAAGTAATCAAAAATGTAGAAGATCTAGGTAGTATA